ATTCTCGTACCAGCTACTTGGTAATCCCCAGTTCTTCCGGGGCATTATCATTACCTTACAATCTTCAGCATTTTCAGATAGTCAGTGTTTTAGTACTTCAGTAGAGGCTCATAGACTAGAGTAACAGTTAGACAGAGTCACAAGCCTTTCATGTTAAGCAATGTTAGCTACAGATATGTTTCAGACTTGTATTAGTATTTCCACACTTTGATTTTTATCATTCAGACTTTCAGTATATCAGCATGTGTTAGTTTATCTTCCGCATTTAGTATGTTATGATATCACATGTTGATTCAGCCAGCCAGTTGGTTCGCTCGATCACATGTAGTTAGGCACCGAGTGCCGTATTACGTCCAGGCCCAGGTTCGGGGCGTGACAGGTAGTCGGGCATTTCTCTTTGTCTTAATCAAGTCGCTAGCATGAGTGTTAGGATGATATCTTTTATTAATAAATTACTATTACTACCTAAAGTTTAACTGCATTCTTAGATTCGATCTTATTTTATCTTACTGTTATTCCTACTTGTTATAATTACTTTTTCTCTTTCAGTCGTTCCCTAGCCAATGGTCTATCGAAAACAACCTCTCTGTTCTTTCAGGGGTAAGGGTAAGACTGCGTACATCTTACCCTCCCCAGACCCACTTGTAGAAAATTAATGGGTTTGTTGTTGTTATTATTGTTGTTGTTGTTGTTGTTGTTGTTGTTGTTATGTGTTGTTAATAATTAGTTACTCTTTTTGAATTTGAATTTAAACATACTTAACTAACTTTTTTTTTTTACGAAAACAATATTTTTATATATTTAAAATTATTTCTATTTTACGCTCAATTCCATATTTCAAGTTTGACACTCAGAATCATCTTGTACAACTAGCATGGCTATACATAATTTCATCCGATGATATTTTTCTACCGATAAGTAATTCAACTATTATACTAGTGAAGACATTACTGCAGAGATTGAGGAATGAGATGGGCCTTCTGATATTCCTTTAGAATGCAAGGAAGTCTTCTACTAATATGTAGACGTTGTGTGATAGAATTAGAGATAAAATTGCTGAGAAATATTATCATGTGTGCGTAATTTGCGGATTATCATGATGGATTATCAATATATAGTAATTTGTGGGATAGACTTCTAATTCATACTGAATGATGACAATACGTAATTATGCTAGATAATATTATATGCTTTGGTATAACTATAAATGTTATATTGATCTAAATCTTTAATATGTGTATGTTTACTTTATATTTTATATTTTAATTAAATAAAAAAAATAATAAAAGTCTCTTACGATAAATATTTAATTTTATTTTTCTCTTTAGAATAATTATAAGACCTTGATACTATCTTTTTGGTAATTTGACACTCAAAAGCACTTTTTAAAAAGATTGGCCAAATATGATATGTTTATCAAATATTACAAAAAGTACTTCTTAAATGAATTGGCTAAACACAAATTATTTTTTGGAATCTTTACATAACTAAGCAATATTAAAAAATATAATACATCTTGGTAGCAACAAACTTAATATATCAATAGTAGCAACATAAATATTTCTTCTATAGCATATTCTAACCAAAATCGAAACCGCAACAATATGCCTAACATCTCGCACCTTTGTAACTTAATGATTTGTTCCGTATTACTCCTAAACTTCCTTAATCCCCCAATACTACCAATTTCATTCCTTTTTGCTTTTTGCATAATACATATATTATTTAACATGTATTTTGACTAATTTTATATTATTTGATTTTTGATTCTTTCATGTTTGTATATTTAAATTTGAATGATATATAAAAAGTATATTAATTGACATTGTAAATATTTTACAAATATATTAAATATATATAGTGTATATTTAGAGTAATTAAGTTTTATACTGTAAGTATTCTACAAATATACTAGTATATGCATAGGTTTTTCCTTGAAGATTTTCATATTTATGGTATATTTCTAGTATAAAATATTTTATATCTTATACACACCATCAACATCCCACAAAAAAAATTCCAGCTAATCACATTATTAATATACAAAATATAAACAAAAAATGTATGCATATCTTAGTTGAAAATATATACGGTATATTTGTCGTATATACATTATGAATGAATATATATATATATATATATATTACTTGTATAAAAATAAGTAAAAATGTTTAAATTTGGTTTTTATATGCAATAATGGAGATAGAAGGTAGCAACATAAAGGGGGGGGGGGGGGGGGGGGGGTAGGTTCGTTACAAAAGAGTAAAAAAGGGAAAGTTTTACTATAATAATGAGAGAAATGATATCAATATTATTAGAATAAAACTAACTCCTTAATCTGAGGGTTAGCTTATTTTACTAGAATTGTAAAAGAAACTCCCATTTATGAAATAAATGAAGAATAATATTATTAATGAAAATAATATTAAATAAAGGATTAGGCATGTAAAATTCTCTTATTTTTTTTTTCAAAAGTACTTTTGAGAAAAGCACTATTGGAAAAAGTACTTTTCAAAATAAGCCGTTTTTGGCAGCTTGGCCAAACGAACTCTAAGTAAGTATACACTGTTCTTATCATTTTCCAATTTAGAATTGTTTTAAAGGTGAAGTCAAAAGCTTTACGACAACTGCACAAACTACTGAATTTGTGTTATAAACAGGTTAAGAAAATTCAAAATGTCGAAACTCAAAAACATTTTTGGAATTTTTCTTCAACCAAATGCCATTAGGCAAAAGTTTTCCAGCTTTTGCATTGCAAAAACTAAAAAGACTACTCCAAATGTGTTTTTAGTTCTTGCAAAAAAATTGAAAACCTTTGTTTATTGGTCGAATTCTTTTTCGAAAGCACTGAAACAATTTTTAATACTTTTTGAAAATAATCCATAGTTTCAAATCCTTAGATTTTTCTCTATTACATAATCCTCAGCATGTTAAGGGATCTTAGCCCCGTAGTATATTTGGACGGATTGAGTGATTCATGCTTCCATTATCAAATAACACTCAAAAAGTCAAAATGGTTGACCAAATCAAGCCTTCCAAGATAAGATGACTTGGACTAATTATTAGCTCAAAATAATTGACTAGAGGGTTTTGCCCAAGAAAAAGGAAGAGAAAACCAAAAAACGCAAACAAGTGATAGATTTAGGATAGTCAATAAAATAATCATTTTTAGCAACACAGTTAAACATAGAATTTTTAGAGAAAACTATAAAAGAATGACTCCGGTAAAGTGGATTGTTTTTAATCCGCTCATTTAGATGAATCGAGTACAATACCGTTATAAAAAAATAGCCGACATATTTTTTTGTATATATGGGTAATATTTACAAAATATACATATATTATATACTTTTTGGGTAGAATATGCCATTAGATTTGACCGAGTGGCCAATTTTGTTTTTTCTTCAACAAGCCGTTTAATTTAAATTTGACTCAAGTAATCCATCTGCAGATACAAATGAAGGTTAGATGTGATGTACAAGTCTTCATCAAACATCTAGTGTTGGGCTGCTATTAGAGCCAGCCCATTATATCGATAAAAGCCCAGATAGGATTTTCAGCCCAATTCCCATCTAGTTAAAGTTGGCGGGAGCGTATTGTCTGGTGGTTGGCTCAAAGATGAAATGGTATGGGTAAAGCCAATCCATTTGAAAAAATCTAAAAGAATGTGAGAAGCGAATGGCTGTCGTTGTTACAACCAGCCACTCTCTCTTACCACAATCAACTGTTTTTTTAGTTCCCTCTTTTCCAATTCTTTCTCTCTGCACTTTTCTAATGGCTACTCTTCAATCTCTTGCATTCTCTCCTGCACTTTCTCACACTTCTCATCAGCCTCGCTCTCTTTTCGGTATTGTTTCCTTCAACTTAGTATCTCATTAACTTCTGTAAGGACTTGTACTTTCAGTTTTCTATTGATGTTTTTTGAGTAAATAATATTTGTGCAATGTTCAGACCAAAATTTACTACTCCTCCTTTTTTGGGAATTCATACTGGAAATGCAATGCAGCTGAATGTTAACTATATTGGTAGCACCTTAGGGGTCATTTGGTAACAATCCCGGGATAAAATGCAGGATTATTTGGTTATGTGTATTAATTAGTCTAGCAGTAGAGTCTTTCACACAACTGGTGAAGCTGGTAGAGGCAAATGTAGCATTTGAGCAATGGGTTCAGTTGAAACCCAGTGTTTCTGGTGGAACATATATATGTATGTGAAAAAACACTAAAATTTTAACAAATAGTATTAAATTCTGAAGCTTATAATTTCAAAAGTATAATGAGTTCAGTGCTAAGAACCTTAAAGATTGATGATCCATCAATTTTAAACTCTTGGATCCAGCCCTGCTCTGGATGTGGGTTCAAATCTCGTTGTCTCCCTTCCTCTCGTCCCCTTCCCTAATCCCCCAATGTAATAGGAAAAAAAAATGAAAATGAAGAAACCAGGAAATTGGGGATCATAGTTAATTCATAATCAATAATAGTTGTTTGTGTTATGTACTGTAGGAATAGCATCAGGGGTGGTTCATCAAAGTGCAGGTTCTTCATTCAATGGCCAACGCTTGTGCCTAACTCGTTCACGTTTTACTTCCAACATCCAAAACCAAAAAATGTCCAGACTAAGTATAATGATGGTTCAGCCAAAAATTCAGTTCATACAAGGAACTGATGAACAGACAATACCAGATGTGAAGTTAACCAAGTCAAGGGATGGGACAAATGGTATGGCCATATTCAGGTTTGATAATCCCTCCGTATTCGACTCATCTGGTGAAGTTGGGGATATCACTGGATTCTACATGATTGATGAAGAAGGGGTTCTTTCGTCAGTTGACGTAAATGCCAAGTTTGTTAACGGAAAGCCTGCGGGAGTTGAAGCTAAGTATATTATGCGGACTCCACGAGAATGGGACAGGTTCATGAGATTTATGGAGCGGTATGCTAATGCAAATGGCTTGCAGTTTGTTAAAAGTTGAGGTTGTATGTTTTCTTTTTATTGCCTGACCAATTTCTTGAAATTTTTGTCTGCCATATTGGTTTATGAGTAATTAGTTCAAAAGGTGTAAACTTGAAAAATCTTCTCAGCAACATGCTGATAAATGACAAGATAGCTGCATCCATTTACAGTTAGATGTTACTTCTAGTTCCTTTTATAGCTTTCTTTATTCTCTTTTCTCCTGATATTTGTTCATTTCTGATATTAATTAATGCTTCTGAACATTGAGGAGACACATCTACTTGGTAAAACACATTGCATTCAAATGATTATAATTCATTTCTTCTTTATCGGAAGATAAAGATGATCTTTGCCTCTCAGTTGTATCTGCTCTAACATCAATTTCTAATATGATGTGAACTCTCTAATTGGAAGTTTGAACTAAAACAATGAACATTTGGTGCTACTGTTGTGACATTGGTGATAGCCTTCACTTCATTGATGCCCATGTGACTGAAATAGGACTCCTAACTTTGTTGGCTTTATTTCCTAGATTGACCCATGTCAATTGACCCTCGGCAAAACTCATCCTTCGAGATCCAATTCTTTTCCTTGACATAAACCAAACTCTGTAACTTAAGCTTTGGTTTGCATGTTTAAATATCAGACGACGTGGTTTGACTCTCACTTTGACTCCCTCAGGTGGCACAATGTCAACTGAGTAAACAGAATTAGGGTTCCCTACGTTTGTTACTCTCCTCTTGATCATCTTTCTAGTCATTCCTGCCCTGAAAATTACTGAAATTGAGGGGTAATTCAGGCTGAAACCCCTCTCCTTCTGTAAAATGTCACGGCAGCTGACATTCCTATGAGTAATGCTGAAGACTTCAGAATTTCTGTACCCAATGGTACAGAGGTGAGTGATATATTCATCAACCCGGATGTCATATATTAGTCCAGGATCGATGGCTCTTTCTGGTTTAACGTGTCCAGCTCCAGTTGCAAAAAGCTTAGCCGGTGCATCTCCATCCATGATTGGTTTTCCCAAGTGGTCAGTTGTATCTGCAGTGGTCACTAATGCGGATTTGATTGCTGCTGGAGTCCATCTAGGATGAGCTGAGTGGAGCAATGCGGCAATTCCACTAACATGAGGACAAGCCATAGAAGTCCCTGACATAACAGTGAAATTTACTCTTCTTGAATCCTCTGGAAGGCCACTGGGGCCTAAGTTTTGCGGCCAAGCAGCTATTATGTTTACCCCTGGAGCAATCAAATCGGGTTTGAGAATTGAAGGATCGGTATAACTAGGACCCCTTGACGAAAATTGAGCTACTGCAGGTGTTCTTGATTTTTCTATTACTGTTCCTCCAAATATGAATCTAGCTGTTGGCCTTTTTGTCGAGTTACGGTAACTTTGTAACTGAGTTGATTCATTGAAGCCAATCAATGTTGCTGGAATGACATGGACATCAACAGAATCTTCCTCTAAATTTACTGCTGTGTTTGCTAGGATCATGGCAACGCCACCTGCTTCCTTCACGACCTGGCCTTTTTCTGCCCTTCCATTGACTCCCCTATTACACACAACCATTTTTCCCTGGACTTGTTCTCTTGAAAGCGATCCTCTCAAGCAAAATTCACTTCCCTTGTCTGCATTCTTGATATAAACGAGTTCAAGACTCTTACCTGAGCTTGGAACTTGCTTCCCAGGGTACAAAGATTCTCCATACAGGAACTTTCCATTGCCTAACTTGACTAATGCTGGAAATCTCCTGTCAAGTGTACTAGCGCCAATAGTGGCAATCCAAGGAGCCCCATTGGCTACTGAACTTTGGATTGGACCATTATTCCCGGCTGCACATATAACTGAAATTCCATGCTCCATGGCTCTAAAACTGCCAATGGCAATAGTATCGTCATAAAGTGGAACGGGGAGGCCACCAAGTGAGAGTGACAATATGTCTACTCCATCTCTGATGGCTACATCCATTGCTGCAAGAATATCAGAGCTGTAACATCCACTGAACCAGCATACTTTATATATTGCAATGTGGGCACCCGGGGCCATTCCTCGTGCCTCCCCCGCTCCATTTCCAAGCACACCAGCCATTGGCACCGCAGCTCCTCCAGCAGTGGATGCTGTATGTGTGCCATGGCCATGGGAATCCCGAGGTGACACATATTCCTCCACTAAATCTGGTGACCATGTCATTGAGGCCACACGATGTCCTTTGCTGAAAAACCTCGCGCCAATAATCTTGCGATTGCAGCTTGAAGAATTGAAATCCTGTCCACCTTGACAGATACCCCTCCATTTCTGTGGAACAGGAGGCATTCCATGATCATCAAAACTTGGACTTTCTGGCCAAACTCCAGTGTCTAACACTCCAATGATCGCCCCTCGACCAAATCCAGACTTCAACCAAGCACCTTCTCTCGTCAGACTTAGTCCCAAGAACTTATATGAATAAGTAGTTTGAACTTCAAGCCTCCTCTCTGCACGTATCGATAACACATCATCGTATTTCCTTAAAGACTCAAGCTCAGCTTCAGTGAGTTGAGCTGCAAAGCCTTCCATAGCTGAATGGTAAGAGTACAAAAGGCGAGAGGACGAGTTTTCTCCCGAGGAAATGGCTTTTGCAAGGAAAGAAAGGTGCCATTGAAGCTTAGAGCTAAAAGGGGGTCTTGTTGCTCCATGTGGATGCAACTGAACAATGTAGGTTTGCAAATCTTGAGCTTGTATGATAACAACACATAGTAAAAGAAAAAGAAAGGAGAAATGGGTACTGGATTCCATGTAATTAGTAGTGTTGGTTCAACAATGCTTGGAAAAGAATGCATGTTTCTTGGAACAAAGAATGAGGTATTTGAAGAGAATTCAAAAAATTGGGTGTTGGAGACATGTCTGAGCCTCTGAAAGAGAAGAAGAAACTCGTGAAAATATATGAGCTCTATATCACGAGTATCATTTGTCAAGAAAGAGGAGAGGATCAGATACAATATTGTAGTACGAGGAGCTGAAGGTCTTGCCTATGTATTCACGAGATATTGTGAAACATTTTAAGAAACATTCTCAGTTTCAAGTTTTAGATTTAGAGGATGTCCCTTTATTTAATAGATTCATTTGTTAGACAAGAATACACAACTGCATTTATGCTCAGGCGCCAAACTTCACCATGTCTGAGATCCTGCAGTGGGAGCATTCAATTCAGTCACGCCACGCTTAGCTCCTTGCACTTCTACAATGGAATGGCGGCTCTACATTTTCGCCCACTAATACTAGGATGTTGTTTTTGTTTTTTTGTTTTTTTCCAAGAATTAAATGAAAGTACAAGAGGGGGGTGAATTGTATATTTTTAAACATATCGAATTATTAGTTGACTAATTTAACAAATCGTCGACTGAATAATGCAGTTCAACAGTTGTAATATCATAAAGGAAATTGCAGAAAGTAAATGCAGGAATTAAAAACACTGAAATTTTTATACTGGTTCGGATTCAATGTGAATCCTAGTCCAGTCCCCTTGGGTTGCAAGGGAGTTCTCTTTAGTGAATGTGTTTCTTCGAGTACAGTGGAAATGACTTGATACTACAGTTCCTCTAACACTCGTTTTTTCCTTTTTGATACAATGCCTCACCAGTGTTATACTCTCCCTTTTCTCTAACTTGTTACACAACAGATCTTAGAGAACTACAATGTTTGTTTGCAGTAGAATAAAGAGAGAATTTTTGGTGTAATCAAAGTATGTTTGATTGAGGTCTAAGACAGGGTATAAATACTTTGATGATGACTGAGGCTTGGCAACCCAAGAGATTTGATCCTTGGAAAGAGATTGATTCTTTCCAAGAATAAGGTAGCTAGCCGTTGCTTCACTTTAATTTCCTTCCTTCAGCAGTTTGTAAGGAATGAAGATTGGCTCCTTAATTGGTGGTAATTCCAAAATTAGTCGCGTACCAATTTCTATCAAATCTTCGAACTTCCGGATTGCTGCCCTTGATGTGTGCCTTAACTTTAGGCTTGCTTGATTCTCCAACGCAGCTGATTGATATTCTTTGTTGATTGATTTATTGATGGGATTCCTTCCAGATTTGCCGTTCCTTTCCTTAGGTGTCCAGATCCGCTAATTGCATCGTAATCTTTGCTGATTGTTTGCTTTCCTTATTCATCAGAATTGACTCCAGCAGTCTTGACTTCCTTGTAATGGATTTCCTGCATAGGTATATTATTTTGTATTATTAAAACTATATCTAACAATCTCCCCCTTTTTGATGATGACAAAATAATATATAGATATAAACACCAGTCGACTTCCCTGTAGGTTTACTCCCCCTTAGTGTATGCAGGTGCCTGGTCCATGATGCTCCCCCTCAAAGTATGCGGTTGACTCGTCTGTGATAGAGTCGACTTCTGTACCTGTACAAGTATAACCTACACTTTCTTTGATGATCCCCCTCAATGTATGCAGTTGACTCATCTATGGTAGAGTCGACTGCTGTACCTGTACCTGTACAGTAGAACCTATACTTTCTCCCCCTTTTTGGCATCAACAAAGAGGGAACAGAACAATAGATAAATATAATAGATAGCATAGAAAGAGTTATAAAGATCATCCGTAGAGTAGCAAAAAAAAAAGGAAAAATTATCCAAAGGCTGAAAACACAGCCCAAAACCCAGAGGAGCAAAAGAAATTATTTTAAAAACATCCATATCAGCGGCGCAGAAAGTAAGTAAGGGTTTTGCAGATAGCCTCCTTCAACTGTTCAAAACTCGCATTGGCTGAGATGCTCACTCCATCCAACCTGTCATGAATCTCCCATAAGGCTTTGACAGCATTCTCCGTGACCTTGATAACGACAACTCTAATTTTGGACACATCAGACCCTGTATCCTTGGAAATAGCATGGATATCACCAACAGTAGACTGAGTGGTTATGAGCAGACTTTTGATTTCAGAGAGTTGAAAGGTGATGGAACGAAGTGTTTCACCAAGATCAGGATTGTGAGGACTGGAATGAGGAACATAGGGTGAGGGTTTGGGCTCTACAGGAGCATGCTTTGCTTCATTCTCGTGCTTCTTAACCCAGGACCCTTCCACACTCACATATCCCATACTAGCAAAGGCTCTAGAGTTGGAGACAGTGATGAATGGATAGCTAGACAGGGAGATTTGGATGAGCTTCCAGAATGTGAGTGATTGCCATGCCATAGGGAAGACTGGTGAGATCTTCAGCACTCTCGATCATGAAATTGATAATTCAAGAGGAAAGCTTGATTTTGCGTTTGGTGACAAGGCAATAGACAAAGAATGTGTCTCTTTGGGAGAAGGTTGAAAAGGAACTAGTGCGAGGAAGTAAAGTTGTTGCGCCAGAACCCTAGTTTCGAAGCTAACATCACTTGGACCTAGTTGGTTTGGAAGGGGATCTGAGGGACTTTCAACTATACATTGTTTGGCTTGGTCAAAGGAGATTTCAAAGTTATCAGGCCAGGTATTTTTAAATAGAGTAGGGAAACCAGAGCAACGACACTGAAAGAGGGAATCAAACAGGGCACAGTCAAGAATAATGCGCTTACCTAACACTAGAGATTCTAACCTATCAGGCTTGCTAGAACGAAGATTTGCATAAAACATTTTAACCAGGGGTTCATATACTTTGGGCGGAGGAATAGAGAAGAACTTAGCCCAACCTTGATAAACAAAGAGATCCTTGACTTTGCAATTGAGGGCTTCCATGTGGTCAAGGTCGACAACCCTTCCATGGGCAATGGGTTTATCTTTCAAAGCAATGAAGAGATCTTTATTTGGGGAATCCCAGAAATTTAGGTCAGATTCAAGAGAGGTAGAGAAATCAACCCTTGATTTCTTTGGGGTGGACGAAATAGGGGGTTCTTCCATGGGTCGCTTACCAGAAGCTTTTTCCCCAAGGAGTGGAGAGTGTTTAGAAAAGTCACCCTGAGAAGAGGCGAAACCCACAGAGCGATCAGACCCTAGGTCTAACTGTTCCGGAGGCATAGTTGGAGGTTTGGCTTTGGAACGAGTGCTTTTTCTGGTAGAAGCAGAGGGATTTCCGGGATGCTTAGCCATTGAAAGGGAAGGGCTTGATCGGAGGTTTAGGAGAGAGGATGAGGATGAGAGCGATTGAAAAGGGTTTTCTCTTTTAAGAAGAGATTTTTGGCGGTTGAGTACAGAAAAGGAAAAGTGGTCAGTTAAAGGGACGCGATGATTGGTTTTCCATACTTTGAACGACGAACTGATGTGAAAGAAAAGAAAAGAGAGGGAAAAAGGACGGAGAGTAATTAATGCATGAGTGAAGGACAATCATTACCCTATAAAATCAGAATAATACATATAGGTCCTAAAACTTTTTAGTAAAGCACGTAATGCCAAGTAAATCTCTTAATTCACAAAATCTCTCCTCTAATAGAGGTTTAGTAAAAATGTCAGCTAACTGATCAGTGGTTCCAACAAAAAATATTTCAATATCACCCTTAAGAACATGATCTCTAATGAAGTGATGCTTGATATCTATATGCTTTGCTCTCGAGTGATGCACAGGATTTTTTGAAAGACAAATAGCACTAGAACTATCACAGAAAATTTGAATAGGCTTAAAGAACAGTTCATAATCACCCAGTTGATGAGACGTCCATAAAAGTTGTGCGCAACATTGTCCTATAGCAATATATTCAACTTCAGTAGTGGATAGCGCAACTGAAGCTTGTTTTTTACTGTTCCAAGATATTAAAGCCTTTCCCAGTAATTGACATGTGCCGCTTGTGCTTTTCCTGTCATCCTTATAACTTGCAAGGTCAACATCTAAAAAACCTTCTAATTTAAAAGAGTTAGAACGAGGATACCATAGTCCATAAGACACAGTACCAATAAGGTAGCAAATGATTCTTTTTACTGCGGTTAGGTGTGATTCCTTGGGAGCTGACTGAAATCTAGCACATTTACACACGCTGAACATAATGTCCGGTTGACTTGCTGTCAGATACAGTAATGATCCAATCATTCCACGATATTTAGTTTCATCAACAGGAATTTCCTGTTCATCTTTGTCTAGATTTGTGGAAGCACTCATTGGTGTGCCAATTGATTTTGCATTGCTCAAACCAAATTTTTGAATCAGTCCTTTTGTGTATTTGGTCTGACATATGAAGGTCCCTTCTTCAGTTTGTTGAATTTGTAGTCCAAGAAAGAATGTCAGCTCACCCATCATACTCATTTCAAATTTGCTTTGCATAAGATTAGAAAATTCCTTGAACATAAGAAGGTTAGCACTACCAAATATAATATCATCAACATAGATTTGAATGATGAGGTTACCTTCCGATGATCTTTTAATAAATAGGGTAGTGTCGATTTTACCTCTTGTGAAGCCATGATCAACAAGAAATGAGCTCAGTCTATCATACCAAGCACGTGGGGCTTGCTTTAGTCCGTACAATGCCTTAGAGAGCTTGTATACATGATATGGGAATTCTGAGTCTACGAACCCAGGAGGTTGTTTTACATAAACTTCTTCTTCAATGAATCCGTTCAAAAAGGCACTTTTAACATCCATTTGAAATAATCTAAATCCTTTAAAGGATGCGTATGCCAGAAGAATTCGTATGGATTCCAAACGCGCTACTGGAGCGAAGGTTTCATCGTAGTCGACTCCTTTCTGTTGTGAATATCCCTGAGCAACCAGTCTGGCTTTATTTCTTATGACTTTTACATCCTCATTCAACTTATTTCTGAAGACCCACTTGGTTCCGATTACAGAGACATCTTCAGGTTTGGGTATCAGACTCCATTCTTGATTCTTGCGAAATTGATCTAGTTGTTCTTGCATAGCTTGAACCCAACTCAAGTCTCTTAGTGCTTCATCTATCTTCTTTGGCTCAAT